TATTTGTTTGTGCCCTTCTATGCATCATGATCCACTGTTATGTCTGTCTAGCCTTGCAGTGTTGATTTTATGAGGTGCCCCACTTGCTCCAGGGGTTCCTCTGTCCATATTCTCAGGAATATGACAAGTGTACAGGCAGAGCCTAGCACTGATCATGTTGGTGAAGGGAGAAAACAAACAGGTCACTGAGTTCATTGCTCGAAGCCCGGCGCGAGGTGAGGGAAGCAGTCCACTGGCTTAAATCAGTACTTTCAGACTCAGCCCCATCAGAAAACCACACACAAGTGGCCTAGCCACACACTCCAGAAGGTGAGACTACTGTGGCCTCCACAGCCTGCGCTTGCTGCTACTTAAACTTCTCAAGGGGTCTTGACTACTCTTCCTCTCTCCACAGCTGTTCTTGTGGCAGCCATACTCCTAGACATTGCCGTAGGGTGGCCCCAGAGGCCTTGAAATGCAGTTGCATGTAACTTCTGATTCTCAGAGTAGTTCAGTCTTAAAAAATAAACCCCTCCTCAGAAAGAATCACTTTGAGAGTTAAACCCAGCACTCCATTTGCAGCTTACAATAGTGTGGGCTTTTCCTGGGGCTACTGCAGCCTTTCTTTCTTTCTTTCTTTCTTTCTTTCTTTCTTTCTTTCTTTCTTTCTTTCTTTCTTTCTTTCTTTCTTTCTTTCTTTCTTTCTTTTTTTCTTTCCTTCCTTCCTTCTTTCTTTCTTTCTTTCCTTTCTTCTTTTCTTCTTTTCTTTATTTTTCAGTACCAGGGATCAAACTGAGGACCCAGTGCTTGTGAGGCAGGTGCTTACCTTGTTCTTGTGGAAACAAGACCCCCCCAGGAAGCCCGTTAGTGTTCCACACTGCCTCATGCTTTTCTCTGTATTGCCTTCGCTGCTCCGTGATCTTTGGTCTTCACGTTGACTCTTTCTTGGGTCCAAGAGCTCTCTTCTCCTTCTGCTTGTTAAATGGTTGTTTTCCATGTCCCACAGAAGCTATGATTTGCTGCTGCTTCTACACTATCTTCATCTTCAGCATTGTCCTTTCTTAAGAATCTCTTCAATAAATCACATGAAATTTTTAAAAAATTAAGCGTTTAGTAAGAGGGTACTTTGGGAAATATTTAATTAAATGCCAAACTTTCAACATGGTATTTCTTCTTTCAAGTGCTATGTAATTAAAATATTTTTGAAAAATGGATTTACAAGAGAGTAAAGTCCTGAAGTGTCCTTCGTTGATCAGTGGAATTATTCCCATTGTTATTTGTTTTTAGAAGAAAACATTGTTTTTATTTCTATAAACAAGCAAGTCATTATAAAAATCCCAAAAGATTTTGGATATCTGTAATCTCAGAAGCCACCAATAAAGGCATAATCAAGTCACAACTGAAAGAAATGAACAAAAATATTTTTTAGTAGAGACAAGTGATGATGGTAGTGATGATGATGAGAGCAGATCATCTACTTGGTAAAATAATGTGAAAAGCAGTAGCAAATTAGATCAAAGGAACAATTACATTTTAAGCACGTATGAGTAAAGATGATAATGGTTAATAAATACATTGCAATAATCGGACTTACAGGCAAGAGTTTAATGGAATGGATGAAAGGCAATGTCCTATAGGAACAGATGACAGGTGTCATACATAAAACCTGAGCATAAAATCCATAAGAACTGAAATCCGGAAGTTTACCAACTGTGCCAAAGAATATTCACATATAATTTCAACTGTTGTAAATCTGTGAATGGCTTTAAAATGATTGTAAGTTCTGCATAACTATAAAAACTTTACAGGCATAAGTCTCTCACGGCACAGCTGTAACCCATTCCCCTGGGGCCCCTGAAGTGAGCTGGGCTTTAGAGAGCAATCAAAGGCAGAACAGAAGTCAATGGTAAAAATGTTTACTACAGACAACATTTGATGCCACTCAAGTTTCTAAGGAAAGCACAATATGGGCTTAAATGAACCCCGATGATGTGTAGGGCTTGAAGAGATGAAAGAAGGGCAGGGACACTTCAAATAATAGCAACCTACTGAGGGAAAGAGGACACGCAGAGTGAAGTAGTGTTCTCGGTGCAGGAGAAAGTTGTGGACATGCACTGTCCTGGAAAGTAGCCACAGTGGACTGCATTGGAAGTTTGTGTTGATAGCTAATCATAAGAAATTGTAGAGTAAAATTATGTGCACAAATAATAGAGAGACCTTTGAATGTCAGGATGATTACTGTTTTCTGAGCGGGGCTCTCTGGTCTATTAAAGTAGTAGATATGACATATCTGGCTGCCCTGGACAGGCTGGACCAGAGAAGGACCTGAGAGAGGGATGCTAGTCAGTTGGCCACACAGTGGGTGATAAGGGGCTGAACCAGACATTGGAATGAAAGGGAGACACATTTCAAAGGCAGTATCGATGGGATTTAGTGAGATTCAACCAGTAGGAGAGAATGGATGATTGCAGAGCTTTGCAGCCAGAGGGCTGGAATAATGGTGGTGGTGTGTGCAGAAAAGAATTTGGGGTGTTGGGACTGTAGCTCAGGGGTAGAGTGCTTGCCTAGCATGCACAAAGCCCTGGGTTTCTTTCTGAGGGGAGAGGGATAGGAGAAGGGAGTGGGGGGAGGAGAGGAGTGAAAATAAAGAAAGAAAGAGGAAGAGAAAATAAAAAGGAGAAGAAGGAGGAGAGAGGGAGAAGGAGAAAGAAGAAAGGAGAGGAGAGGGAGGAGAAAAGAAATGATGAAGAGAGAATGAGGAGAGAAGAGAGGGGAAAAGGCAGAAAGAAGGAAGAAAGGAAGGAAGGGGGAGGGAAAGAAGAAAAAGAATTTGGGTGGAGGACATAGTTGGGAGATGGGCAGCAATGAATCCCAGCAGGTGACCATCCTGGAAGCAATGAGAAGTATGAAGTGGATGGACCACCAAGTCTAATCAACACAGTTTTGTGGTAGATGAAGCCACGAGGAGCATGTGAGCTCCCCAAGAAGAGCAATGGAAAGACAAGAGCCCAGGTGCTGAAGACACTTTGGGGAAGATTGCTGACTCTTGCTTGGCAGGAGAAAGTGTCATGGAAGGAAGCAGATAAGCAGTGCTGAGGAAAATGAACACGAGGATTGTGTACATCGTCAGAGGAGAGAGCCCCAGAAGTAAAGGACAGTCACGTCTAACGGGCCACCTCCTTCATCAGACCCTGTATGTGCTCCAGTTCTGCCACTGCTGCTGATTAGTTACATGGCATTGCAAAAATTTGGTTCCCTTTCTTGGCCTCATCGTCTGTAAAATGATGATAATAAAATCTACCACATGGGAGGGCCGGGGATTTAGCTCAGTGGTTCTGCTGCCTGCCTCACAAGTGCAAAGTCCTGAGTTCGATCCCAGGTACCCAAAAACAAACAAACACATGGGGATATTTTGAGTATTAAAAGGGAAAATGTATACAGAATATCATGATACCCAGTATAGTACTTGCAAGAAATTAATAGGTGTAATGTAAGATTTTCAGAGGAACAATAGAATGGTAAGAAGAGAAAAATGCAAACGTTTAAAGAACAACTGAGCATTGAAAAAAGATAATATGTATGGAAAACACACTAGCTAGTCCCAAATTTAGAGTGTTCATATAAAAGTCATTAGAAAAGGCAATCGGGGGAAGTAAAAGCTTGAGTTTGTTCTGTATTAGTTGACCAAATGTCATCATTGCTATTCTTGTCATAGAAACTTCCTTGATTAGGTTTGGACTATCTTTTCATTTACGTAGAGTTTTTGCAACCATCAGGCCATATTAGCTACTCATCTTAGGACTTCCTAAGGAGGCAGCCATTGGTATAAATCTAAACTTATGCTGTAGCTGTATGCTCTTGGAGGACTATTTTTCCCCCAAAAGAAGCAGCAATGGAGAAGATTCTCTGTTGCTTCGCGTACCTGAAGGCAGATGTTTGCAGCCTGCATTTTCACACAGAAAATGTAGTCCTTGGAAAGTCTCCAGTGCCGGCTGGAACGGGACAGAATCCTTTAGTTCAGTGATTCGCCTCTTGTGAGCCAAGCCTGGGTCGCGTCTCTCCTTGCCTAGCACTTCATCTCAAAGTTTCCAGTTCTGGGCATCTGCATTTGTCCCCATTTCAACCTGAATTTAGTCATTTGCTCACCGCTCTGGATCTTGCCTTATGTTATCTGGCACTTGAAGAGTTTTCTCATTTTATTATAAACTCAGCTAGACAATTTGAAAGGTATGTTTACTGAGATTTTTCTTTTGTCTAGGTGCAATATTATCAGCAGTCTGTCCTTTTCTCTAATAAAAACAGACAAAATCATTTAATCTGTTATCTCTTTGTGCATGGAATTGTATACCATCTACAAGTTTTTTGTCATTTCTTTCAATATGTCCTAGAACTTCTTATGTGAAAATGTTTTTTTCTCTCTCTTACAATTAGAGTATATCAAAACATGCGGGTATTTATAAAGAGCTGACCAACAAACAGCTGTTTAAAAATTATTTTTAAGGGCCAGGGATTTAGCTCAGCGGCTTGGTGGCCTGCCTTGAAAGCACAAGGACCCGAATTCAATCCCCGGCACCAAAAAAATTTAATTTGGAAATAACCTAATGACAAGTCACAGAAGATTCACAGAGTGATTATCACTACAACTTCTATCCAGCTATTTGGAGTTAAAGCAGTGAGGAAAGATGCTCAGAAAGTACTGTTGAGTAAATGGGCTGTTTTGTGTAATCGCACTCCCCATTTATACACATTTTGAAATAAATTGGAAGAAAACGTCCACTCTTTGTGGGTAATATCATAGGAAAATTTTTTTACTTCTATTGTTCTCTACTTTTTAATGCTCTGTATGCTTTTTTATCTAAAGGACAAAAGCATTTACAACAAAGATCACCTCTGGTATTGGGTAGTGGTGCCCCCAAAATGAAAGTATCCGAGGCAGGGTGACATCCTGCTCAGGAATGGTGTCTTTCTCTTCTGATTCAGTCTCATTTTATTGCATTTTTTTTTTCTTCTCCTACGCACAGGTCAAGCAATCAACGCCTATGATGGACAGACAGGTCTGCATTCCCCCAGAGCTGCCTGAACTGCTCAAGCAGTTCACCAAAGCCGCCATCCGGACGCAGCCCCAGGACCTCATCCAGTGGGGTGCCGAGTATGTGTCCCTTTCCCACCTCCTGCGCCCTCGGAGGGTAGGCTGCAGATCGGTAGTCCGAGCTGAGCAGCATAATCTTTGTGATTTTTTTTCCAGCTTTCTTGTTGCTTAATGATTTAAAATTCACACGTAAATCCATCAGACTGAGGACGGGAAGCCCTCCCTTAAGTAAGCCAAACTAAGCGACAGGATGCCAGGGCTACAAGCCAAGTGTCCAGGACAAACAACAAGAGTTAGATTACCAGGAGATTCCAGCACACTCCCACTCACCCCATCCCTGCTTCTGTCTCTGCGTTTCAGTGGCAAGAGAGCCTTGGCGGTCTGGGCTGCGTTTTAACTTGCCTTTCCTTGATTTAAACGTGAACCTCGATCTCTTGTCTCACCGCTAGATGGCAGCGGTGCACCCGGGGGAGCCGGCTCTAGCCCGCGGGTGTGTGGGGGGTGGGATGCCTCCAATGTGACCCCCTCCTTCCTGGGACACCTTCCTCCAAGGCTGTGAAGCTCACCCTTACCCTCGACCAAAGACGCTGTGTATCTTGTCTTCTGGAAAATTATTTTTTAAGTGTTTCTTTGAACGGATCTGCTCTCTTAACAAAAGGATGCACAGTCACATGGGATTCTGGAGGAGGCGGCTGAGGACCTAGGGGCTCAGGCATGGCTATAGACAGCATTTCTGGAGCACAGGGGTCCCCTTTCCCAAAGCCCCTAGAGGCTGCACAGTCGATGGAGCTGGCACAGTAGCTGCTGCCTTCCCCGAGGCAGATTTACGCAGAAAGTCTGTCATCTATGAAATTGCTTCCTAGACAAACTCGCTGCTAGACAGTGGGCAGCCAGGGCTGCAGGCGGGAGAGGGGAGCTAACTACACCTGCTGGGCCTTTCTGGGGCAGTTTTTACTGCTGCATGAGTACCTCCTTGGTAGTGCTACACGGGCCTGGAGGAAGGACGCAGGGAAGGGGGACCCTGAGGCTTGGGGAAGGGACCGTGTACTCAGGCTGATCAGGGTGTATGGAGTGGACGGGACAAGGTACTTTCAGAAATCACCAAATTCTTGTCCAGAGGGCCTTCCGGAGTTTAAGGGCCAGGGCCGAGGTGCTCCCGGCCTGGCAGAAGACAGCTTCTAGAATGGAAGGAAAATAAGCCGGTGGTGCCATAAAAACGGGCATAAGTGGATCTGCTTGGCCTAGTAACGAATGCTGTTTGGTTTTTCCAGTCTGAATTTTTTTGTATCATCTCTAAGATTGGACTTTAACATCAGAAGACTAATTTTGGGGAACATAATCATGCAGGCTTTGTTTTATACTACTACACAATAGTTCAAAATTGCATTTTGTTTTTCTCGTGCTATTGTATTATAGTAAGAAAAATGACATTTCTTGATATTGTCCTTGACATTTATAGGAAAAAACATCCCACTGTTGTTACCTTGTTTGTTCCCATATCGTGTGGTGTGCTGTAAATTTTTTAGGCATCTGTGAAAAATCAGTTTGTACTGTAACTACAATGAAAAAAAGAGTATGACCCAAGAACACACTCCATACTACTCTGACATGAAAAGCATTTACCACATCATTTATGTGACTTACAAACTTACAGCATTTTACAAGATAAAACTTTACAGTGTATTTCCAAGAAAAGATATGTATTTAATTCAGCACACGCAGGAATTTTCCCACATATGTGCAGTCAGTGAAGAAGCTACCTACCAGGTACCAGCAGGACATACATTTATTTGTACTGTGGTAAGCATGCATGACACACAGATCTGCTACATTTATAACTATGAAATTGTTCACTTGCAAAAGGCAACTCAGTATCCCAAAGGACTAAATCCACTACTGTGGTTTCATTTCCGTGTTCTCTAACTAGTTCCACTAAAAAGTCCTAAGATGTTTGGAGAACACTGAGTGTCGCTCTCCACCTGGAAAGTCACCTCTGCAAAGTGAGCTGCTGTGGTGTGGCTGGTGTCCCCCAAGTCTGGTTGCAAAGCCTGAGGTCCATATGGCACTCCAGGTGTCACTGCTCCCACACCTACCCCCAAACTATTCCGTCTGGAGCGTTGTCATATTGTTAAAGGTACACTTTAATGAAGTTCGCAAGAGGGGACAGAAAAGTACTGTTTCAGTTCGCGTAGCTTTAGGTCCAGTTGCTCTGTATCTTAGAAGTATCCAATGTTTAGCTCCATCGTGTGGCTTGACCCTGAAATATGCTTTCATAAAATTCCCTCTGTATTTTTTTAATACTGTCTGGATCTGGACAAAGTGGTGCAGAGAAGGGCAGAAGTCTGTGACTCGGGAGAGTTGGTGCCAAGACTTCAGATGGAGAGCAGAACCGGCCATACAGTATTGGCAACCCACATGTGGGTGGCTTGCACCCCTCCCAGCTGCAGACGAGCCCCTTTCCAACTCATACCAATCCTGCATAGGCTTTGATCTGTTCTCCACATTGACCCAAGACAGAATCCACTCCACAAAGCAATGAGGAGCAGGCATAGTTTATACACAATTTAGAAAAGGAGGGTTTGCTTCATCTGCACCACATAGTTTTTCCAAACTGCTTAGTCCCCTGGGTGTCCAATAGAGCCCTTGCAGCTTGCACTGTCCTCCTTGTTGGAGCCCACGCTTCACCACCTCCAGCCAGAAACCCTGCCTCTCCCCTGTCTCAGGCAAGTCACTTCAATTCCCTTGCAGCTTCTCTTCCTGATACCAAACACACACATACATATGTATACATCTATATGTGTGTATGTGTGTGTATACATATAAAATCTCCTAGGAGTTTTGTCTCCTCTTGTATATATACATAAAACATTTAGGGAGGATGGCTGGGAGAGAATGATCTGACCTACTATGCCCCAGGAAATTGCATGCCCAACTTTTGTTGGTTATCCTGCACCTTGGAGAGAAAAGAGGTCTTTTTATTTCCTACATATTCACCATTCCTTAAGTGGAAAGTAACACAATCAGGCTTTCCCCCCATACAAATGAGCTAAATATGGTGCCTTAAAAACTAAACACTTATAAATGTTCTTTCTTCTACCCACCGCCTTCAAAAAAGGAGAGGGAACTCCTACAGCAGACACAGCCCACAGGAGTGTGGGACACTTCCCCACCTGGCTGCCTTTCATTCCTGCAGGTATTTTGAGGCCATGGCTCGAGGACAGATTCCTCCTGTGAGAGAGCAGCCTGAGCGAGTCACCTCATCCAACTGGACAGAACTGACACCGGAGCTGTTAAAGATCCTGCATTCTCGGGTGAGGGGAATATAGGGTAGTGTTGATATGGGTATGGACAAAAGCCACCTTGTCTCCCTGCTAGTCAGCTGGCCACTGAACATGTCCTGACATTCACTTAACCTTGACCAAAAGGCAGTCTTCCCTTAGAATAGGCTGGAAGCTGAGCTGTCATGGGGTCCATGCAGGTCCCCCTGAAGCTGGCAGAATGTCAGAGGCTTGGTGCGAAGCTAGCCCTTTCTCTCCTGAAAAGTATAAGATAGCCGTCTCTCAGCAGCATCTCTCTGATGGACCGAGACTATGATATGTGGCCACTCTCAGTTCGGACAGGGGCAGACTGTAGTTGCCAGTGTACCGCTTTTAGGGGAGTCCTTGACTCTCTCTGCAGCTACAACATCCTGGGACTTGCCCAGTAAATAGAAGAGGAAAGAGGCATGAGAAAGTTTTTGGTTTGGCTAATTCCAAGGAAATATAGGGGAACACCACCATTCCCTGCACTGGGGACTGAGACAGAGAGGCCTGGGGTGATTCAGGATTGACCTGGCTACTACCTTGGTCCCAAAGCCTTAGCAAACTCATCAGAATCAGAGGGCCAGGAAAGGTGTTGGGCACTGCACTGGAGCATCTATGCCCTCAAAATCATTGGCCAACAACCAGCCATCCACTGCCATCTTCTTTAAACCATTAGATCCCTTGTGCAGTGAACACTGGCAGAACTCTAAAGTGCCTACGGTGAAGCGATAAGAGACATTCAGGCCAAGCCCCGGTGGGCCCCATTCCTGGGAAAATGGGAGGAATGCACTCAGGGTCCTGTACAAAGAAGCCAGTGGGGTCTAGAAGCAATATCTTATTCACACTTCTCTGCTAATTAGTGGTCTCAGGCAAGTCTTCTGCCTGTTGGTTTTGTCTTCCTCTGTCTTATCCACGAAACGGGAGGGACAACACAGGAATAAAGCAAATTGCAAACACATTGGAAATAAGTTAAAATGTAATATAAATATGTAATTCTGACATCCAGAGCTAAAATATGTTAGACTGTGTCTCAGCAAGTTCTTCACCAGGCCCTGAAAAAGAACTGGGAAACAGAGTCCCCTGGCGTCCCTCATACTTTCCACTTCCACTGTGCAAGCTGAAGAACCCCGGCTGGGCCTGGGAGCTGCTCCTCGCTGCATCCCCCCTTCACTCCTCATCCCCTCCACTGTGTCTGACCCCGCCCTGCAGGTTGCTGGCAGACTGATCATCCATGCAGACGAGTTGGCCCAGATGTGGAAGGTGCTGAATCTCCCGATGGATCTGTTTAATAGTGTGATGAATGTGGGTCGCTTCACGGAAGAGATTGAATGGCTGAAGTTTTTAGCCCTTGCTTGCAGCTCGCTTGGAGTTGTAAGTTTGCTTTATCTTTTATTTCTTTTTTTCCTTAAAGGAAAAACTTTCTCTGGACCTGAAAGGGTAATCCATCTACATGCAATGGTGCCCCAGGGCTGATCATGAGTGTACCTCGTTTTCCACTCTCAGAATCAAGTGATTCCGTGCTTGTCAGCAAGACACAAAAGCAAGAAGAGAGGGGCAGAATTACTGTCAGGCTCTGGGGAGTTAGCCAAAGCATGGCTTTTTGATTACTTATTAATTTCAATCATTACCTTCTATTTACTTTCATTCCCTCCCCTTCCTTCATAATTCCTAAGGATAAACAGGAGTCAGCCGGGTGTGGTGGCTCATGCCTGTAATCCCAGCACTCGGGAGGCTGAGGCAGGAGGATCACTGTGAGTTCGAGACCAGCCTGGGATACATAGTGAGTTCCAGGGCAGTCTCAACTACATAGTGAGATCCTGTCTCAAAAAAACAAACAAACAAACAAACAAAAACAACAACAACAAAATGACAAGAGTCAGCTGTGGAATAAGGACTTGCTTATTTGTGGGTTCCAGACACCTAGAAGATCACCACTATAGACTTTTCGAAAGGGATGCAGCCTTATAGAAAACAACCACCAGATAAAAATAATCTTGCACAAAAGTCGGAGCCTATCTCTAAGCAAGAAAAGAGAGAAGAGACTATTTCTAGAATTACAGTCATGACATCACTGTCAATGGAGGGTGTGCATACAAATTCATGCCTTTTCCAAATTTGTCTTGTTTACCAAAACGGAAAGCCATTTTCCTGTTTTGAAGCAAAAGATGCTGAAAGTAGTTTTTATATACACTGAAAGCTGAGGTATGTCATCTGTAGACTCACTCTTGGTAAGCACTGTTATAACTTCAAGGGAAATCGATCAGAAATGTGATTTTTTTAAATCCCTGAAATAACATGTTTAAGAATTAAATCATTGCCTATGCTCAAATGAAGTGGTATAAAAAGATACTTTTAATTGTTTAGCATATCTAAACATGATCTTTTCTTTCTTCTCAAATATGCCTGAAACATGTACCTGACATTTTTATTTCAGAGTAAATTTAGCCCAAAAATGTAGTCCAACTTTTCCTGTGGACTTCCTCTGCAATCTTCATCATCATCATCATCTTTTTAGAAAGAAGGAAAGCAGAGACTATTTGTGGTTGGATTTTTTTTCTTCCTTGTCCTTTATAGCACTATTGCATAATGAGTGAATTTCTGTCTCCAAAGAGGAGAGGAAGTTGGAGTGGAGCGGGGCAAACAAGTTGTCAGCCCGGGACTGATCTCACTTCTGTGGAAAACCCACAAGGACTGGGAGAAGCCACACAAGGGAAAGCTTAAAATATTGGTAGAGCTTATTAAATTCTTACAAGGCTACAAATTTGTCCATCCGACATTCAGAGATGGCGGGAGGACATGTGCCTTCTTATTTGCCCTGTAGTTAATTCTTATCTTCGTGATCTATCCCATTCACAAGAGATGGAGTAAGAGAAAAAAAAAGTAGATTTTGTCTGATGTAGCAACTGGAACAGCCCACGGGAGAACTGCCCTATCTCCCCAAGAGTGCCTCCCCTCTCTCCTCTCCAAGGTGGCTATTGGGTGTTTAGGCAAAAGAGTGATCTAGAACCTCGGTGTGGCCCTTTGTTCTTCTCCAGCCCCTCTGGGCTCCATGGCAGCGCAGCTACCTGTTCAGCCACTCACTGGCTGCTTGCTTGGTTTCTCTGAGATCGGTCACAACACAGCAGGGCTCCTCTCAGCTCGAAGTGATGCTGAGGAGCCCCGGGGTCTCTGCCATGTCATTCTCATCTGCTGGCTTTGGTGTCTACTTCATAGCCCTCGGCATTTGTGAGATGTCTCTTATTCCTGTCCCCATGTCTCACAGTGGTCAAGAATGTGGGAGGCCTCAGCCCAGCCTCCCCTGAGCTTGGCACACTGTGCGGCAGGTAATTCTCTGACATGCCTCCAAAATCAGGAGGGGAAGCTGTGAGGTGAAAGCTTTTCTCGCTTCCTTTCTTCCTTCCGCTCTCCTTCTCTCCTTTCCTTTTCTCCCTCCCTCCTATCCTTTTTCTTGCTCTTCTCTTCTTCCCATTCCCCGTTTCTCTTTCTTCTTTTTCCTCTTCTGAGAGGGTCTTTTGTAATTGCTAAGTTGCCCAGGCTAAGTTTGAACTTGCAGTCCTCCTGCCTCAGCCTCCAGGAGTGCTAGAATTATAGGCTTGAACCACCACATCTGGCTGAACTGCAACTTTCTGTTTCCCTTCTAACACTGGAGGTTGTGTTGCACCGAGATTCTCTCACTTCTAACAGGCTGTAATTCTATTCTCCCTTCTCTGCTTCCAACAAGATGGTCTCATGCCTACCTTTGGATAAGACTGTGCCCCGAGATCCTGAGATAGCTGACTGTGGCCCTTGCCATCCTTGTCAAAGAACACCCAAGGGGGAGTCAGCCTGAAGGTCTAGCCTGTGAATAAAGAGTACCCGGTGAATCCGGGAGCCAGTGCCCTCAGACCTGTGTGGCAAATCTATGTGGCCCGTTTGCTGCAGCAGGCTTGCAGAGCCCTCCTGGGGTGACATCATGTTTTTTCTAAACTCAAACCTCAGCATTCAGGTTTAATTGCAGTGCTGGCACTTTGTGACAAGTGGGTTTGGGTTGCAGTTTGGGCACTCGGCCTCTACAAGGTTCACCATCACTGCCTCATACCTTTGGCAACATATTGGTGGGTAGTGGGAAATCAGGTATGGGGTTGTCAGTGCTATGGTCTAACAGCTATGTCCCTTTCAAATCTGCTTGTTGAAAACTAAGTCCCAAGATATGATATTAGGCAGTGAGGCCTTTGGTCATGAGTGTGCAGCCCTCAGGAATAGGACTTGTGCTTATAAAAGAGAGAGTCTGTTTGTCCCTTACCCCATGTAAGGACACAGTGTAAAGGAACTATTTATGAGGATTAGGCCTTACCACATGCCCAATCTGATGACACCTTGATGATGGACTTCCCAGCCCCAAGAACAGTGACGATACATTTCTGCTGTTTATAAATTAGTCATCCACAGGCCAAGGCAATGAGGACGCCACCATCTAAGGCAGCCCTGACATCTAGTTAATCTGTATATTCTTAGAGACAAGCCCAGGAATTCCTGGCAAATGTGACCTTGGTGCTGTTTAGAAAAGCATTTTGCTCCTGGTAGAAATTCTAATGGCAGGATTTTCACTTGAGTTGCTAACAGGCATCAACTCCAGCGCCAAGCTCTCTTGCTCTGACAGGAACTGTTCCAAATGCTGCAGCAGGAGGAGCTGTGTCCCTTCTCCCTCTCAGAGCTGCCTGGCTCATGCCACCTCCTGCGCCACTGAGACTGATAATGGAAAGGAAGAGTTCAAGGGTAAATAAGGAGCAAAATGGGTCAGGGATCTAGCTCAGTGGTGCCACCGCCTGCCTCGCAAGTGCAAGGTCCTGAGTTCGATCCCGGTACCAAAAATAAATAAATAATAATAATGAGGAGGAAAATGAAGGATAGATATTGAGGAGTAGGAAGAACATGTTTAAATGGGAAGGGAAGAGGGATTAAAAAAGAATCAAAGGAAAAAATGGAAAGAAACCTTCTGCAAATGGGGAGGGGAAGAAGGGTTAAAGGGAAGGGAAAGGAATGCAAAAAAGAAAGGATTAAGATATATTATATTCAGGCACACATTTCCTATGATGAATGTGATCGTGTATGGCAAATATATATAAATTTTTTAAATATCATACTTACAATCAATAATAACACCTTGTAGGCTTTAAAAAAGAAAGAAGAAGTTGAATACAAAAAATAAAAAGGAAGAGTTTGTACATGGAATGGATAGACACGTTTACCTAAAGGAATGACTTGTATTTCGTTAGCTGGTTATGCGTCTTTTGAGGCTTTTACATTTGGGTTTAAAGATGAAACACGTAAGATGCTTAGAGTTACCTCTGTGAAGTGGATCTCCATGTATGCAAGAGAATAAAGATCTCCACTCAAAACTGATTAAATCTTTAAAAACATTTAAAATCTTATGAAGACATCAGAATTGAAGCTTGTTGTTGAACACTCGTACCTGTGTTTGAAACCACCTGCTGTATACAGTCTGCAAGGGCTGCCTCAAAAGGCACCACACACTGGATGGCGCCCATTTACCATCCGACAGTGTGTGGGGGGGTTAGATCAAGGTGTCAGCAGGGCTCATTTCTCTCCCACTGTGTCCCTCTGTGCCCCTAGGTTTGGGTCCCACACTCCTGCCTGCCCAGCCATTGACAGCCTCATGTGTGGCCCCCGCCCATGTCCTCCAGACCAGGAAGAAAGGCCAGGGAGGATGCTTGGCATAGCACTTCTCCATGCTTCTGTGGGAGAACATTACAGGCTGGGGAGAGTGCTGTAAACCCAACTGCTTTGACATCGCATGGTTTATTATTTTTAAATTATTGTACCCTGGAGATTCTATTTCTTAATGTATGTTTGCTAAATGGAAGTAAAATTTAAATATTAACTCAGCTGAAACTAATACTAATTAACACAACTATGATTTACCATTGCCATCAAGTAAAAATATCACTCCAGGAAGATGGGCCAAGTTTATTTTCACCCTCATATGCCTCCTGACAAACAGACTTATACCTCTGGGTGACAGGTTCCACCACTAAAGAAGGACCTAGACACTGTGTCCAGGGAGGGGATAAGAGCAGAACAGCAACACCAGCTGCCAGGGCAAAGCAGTTCTCCTTTGGCCAGTTGTGGGAAGTTGTGGGAAGACATGGCAGCTGCCGGTTGTTCCCTGGTCGCTCTAGTCCACCACTCAGGACTAATTTTTCACCAACCCCTGCAGGGTGTCTATGGAATCTGTACCTCGTCAGTTTTAGTAAAACACCAAGACATATGTGCTGACCTGCCCTTGCTAATTCAGGGCTCAACAGCATTTTCCTTAAGTTATTCCTTGCCTTTATCCCATCATTTCGCGACTCTCTTCATTCATGAAGTGTATGCAAAAGCTAGATGTGTTTAAAGACGGGGGATCAGTTCGGAACATATCCTTCACCATAAGAAGCATTTACTTCTGTAGCAACTCTTATAATAAAACTTCCGGCACTCATCATCTGGTAATTTCCCCCTGACAACACCAGGGCTAGTATTACATAATTCAATGTATGAGATGATTCTACTTAAATAGATCCATAAGTTTAAGGAAAATGAGTCAATCCGGATGTTCAGGATCATCTTCCGGCCTCTAGGACTCCCTTCCTCAGCACATTAGGCTTCTCTTACCTTCAGCTCCTCTTCTGTGCTTCCGGATGTTCAGGATCATCTTCCGGCCTCTAGGACTCCCTTCCTCAGCACATTAGGCTTCTCTTCTGTGCCGTTGTTCCAAGTATCTTCCTGGATTACAGGCTGGATGAGTTACCTTAATCCTTTACAGATAAAATCAGAAAGCAATAATAAGCAAACATAATTCTAATCATATGGAATGTAAAACCAATTAGCCACCTGGAGTGAAGTTATTCTAAGTAACAAATACATTAAAGTATACAGCAGTCCATAAATTTAATTCCTTGAAAGTAGCCCTCCAACAAAGAGAGGAAAGAAAGATATCCAGTAGCTATTTAATGTTTTTAGAATGAGTTGACATTTGAGTGTAAAAAGGTCAAACTTTCTAGATTCTTAAATCGTTACCACTTCATTTTATGACAGCAATATTTTTGTTTTCTTATATCTGAACTGATCTCAGGCATCTAGCCTGGAAGAGTGACTTTCTCCTCACTTTATCTTCCTGTTTTATAGACCATTGCCAAAACGCTCAAGATAATATGTGAAGTTTTATCCTGTGACCATGCTGGTGGGCCTCCCCGGATTCCCTTCAGCACCTTTCAGTTTCTCTACACCTATATAGCCGAGGTGGATGGGGAGATCTCTGCATCCCATGTCAGCAGAATGCTAAACTACATAGAACATGAAGTGTAAGTAAGCTTGTACCAGTTGGGAGTGCGAGTGCACTGGGAAAAATAACCTAACAGGCCAAGCTAGAGTGAGGCTATGACACTTGGCCCCAACTTACAGTGGCTTGACTGTACACCACCAGTTTCAGTACAATGGTGCAAAAGCACTACCATTTAGTAGAAATTCACTTTAATTTGGACTTTGATCATTGCCTGGGCTGGCAATGTAAGTACAATAATTTACATAGTACAATGTGAGCCGTGGCTCTCAGTCAACCAGCCTTATGTTCTCGGTGGAAAACAACCAGTCCTCTTCGGTGTACACATTGCTAAGCTATGATTCCAGCAGCTTAGGTATATTAAAAGCATTTTTGAAGCAGGGGATGATGGTGCACTCCTGTAAACCCAGCTACTCAGGAGGCTGAGGCAGGAGAGTCACAAGTTTGAGGGCAGCCTTGGAAACTAAGATTTCATATCAAAACAAAAAATAAAATGGGCTGGGAATGCAGCTCCGTGGTACAGCACCCCTAGGTTCAATCCTTGGTATGGCTAAATTTTTTAAAAATGCATTTTCAACCTATGATAGTTTCAACTTATGATAGGTTTATCAGGTCATAACCCCGTAGTAAATCAAGCAGCATCTGTACATCATACTGTTTTGAGAACATAGAATTTTGAGACACATGAAATATGATCTGAAGGCTTGGCATGGTGGTGCATGCCTGTAATCCCAGCACATGAGAGGCTGAGACAGAAGGATAGTGCGAGTTTGAGGCCAACCCGGACTACATAGAAAGTTCAAGGCCAGCCTGAACTGCACAGCAAGACTCTATTTCAACAAAAAGAAAGAAAAAATCTGAACAAGATGAAGGGGAAAGGAAAGAAATATTATAGATAGGACAGTGATTCTCAGAAGGCTGAGGCCAGCAGCAGTAGAAGCAGTAGAACCTGCAACCATGGGAGAAATGCAGAATCCCAGGCTGTACCTTGGACCCACTGAATTGGAGACTCTGCATGTGGGATCCAGAAGTCTGGGCCATAGCAAGGCTGCAAGGTTCTTCGGGCTCTGCCAGATTTGAGAAAAGGATGAGGAAGGAGAAGAAGGAATGGGTAGGGGTACAGGTAGTCAACAGATAAGAAAAAAAGGTGAGGGGCAGGAACAACAGCAAAATTAATGTGGAGTGAGTCATTTATATATTGTCTTTCTTGAGATTGCTAGATGAACTATTCCCAAATATCTATTTTCCCAACCAGAATTGGTCCTGATGGTTTAATCAAGGTGAATGACTTTACCCAAAACCCCAGGGTTCGGCTGGAATAAAAGCGCAGTCAATTTTGGCAATTTTAAAGGAAGATACAGAGATGATTGTGCTTCAGAGTCCCTGAACCAGACACACCATTCAAAGTCAGTTTTCTTGTACAACTGGTACATACTAATAAACATATGAAATCAGAAACGTGTGGAATTGAGATGTAAAACGGTCGGAACAAAACACCTGTGTTACCAGGATATTCGCATTCTTCCCATGTGAATACTGAGTAAAGTGCCTACCAGAACCTGAACTGAAAGCATATCTCAACTCAAAGCCAGACCGGACCATTACATTTTAAAAGGAAGAATGTGACCCAGGCACAGTTTTGATGCGTGGTGATTGTGAGGGCTAATTTTTATGAGTATCTTTTACCTGGTCAATCAAGTTTTCACCAATTCATTGCTCCATTTTTTTGGTGCTACTGTCATTCATTCCTTTTCTTATTCATCAATATTTATTGAGGCGGGGATGTAGCTCAGTGGCCACACCTGCCTCTAAAGTGCAAGGTCCTGAGTTCAATCCCCAGTACAAAAATAAGTGTGTGTGTGTATATATGTATATATATATATGGAGAGAGAGAGAGAGAGAGAGAGAGAGAGAGAGAGATTAGCCATGTGCCAAGAATATGGTTGCCAGGAGCCAGGGATTTAACTCAGTGGTTCTGCCACCTGCCTTGTAAGCTCAAGGACCCAAGTTCAATCCCTGGTTGCCAGATATAATACAAGACAGCCTGCTGAATTTGCATTTCAGATAAGCAACAAACTTTTTCATGATTTGTTTCTTTATTTGTTTTCCTAAAAATGACAACTCCAGCCAGGAACTATGCTGGTTTCTGGACATGTACAAATCAATCATATATGAATTCTGCCCTCCAGACCACCCAGATCTGTCTTTCCTGAAGTAAGCAGATGAGGTGAACAGGCTGTGACGGTTGTTCTAACTCCAGGTGTGCTAAGTCACCGGGTCAGTCCCTTCTACCTGTTATACTACTTCCCCATAAAAGTTTTTTCTAAAAAATCACATTAGCTTGGATGTATGTATCTCTCTACCCTCACTGAGAAGCAATTTGTCTATTCGTGTATAAAGGTAAACGGTGACCGGTGGGAAATCACCATGGGCCCTCAATTTCTACCTACAGTGAAGACTGTTTGAAAGGCTGAAACACTGCAGATGAAATCTCGTGCTGTAATTCATTGCGATGAGAGAATGAATGAAAGCTTAATCTGCTTCAGTCTTTCAGTGTGTCAATTTCTCTTTACTATGACCAAAAATTAAAGCGATCTTGCCTGGGAGTAGGGACTAAACTGGGACAGAGGAAGGCAGCCCAAATTGGAAGGCTGTGACATAACAAATTAAATTTGTAAAAATAACAAAAGTGAAAGGATGCTTCCTACATGTGGGAAGCCAGATTGCAACTATCTGGGTGGGGGATTTGGCTCAGTGGTTCTGCTGCCTTCCTTGTGAGCACCAGGGCCTGAGTTCAATCCCTCGTACAAAAAAAAAAGAAAGAAAGAAAAAGAAATCAGCGACTATCTCCATAGCCGTAAAGGAATGAGGCTAATGAAATCACAGCCATCTAAGTGTGTACTGGGTTCGGATATGAAGTTCTTGATAATACTGCAGCCATCAGTTGAGACTAAGAGTAAGTGCTTATCTCCCAAGCCAACAATTCCCTCCTCATGGCAATGTTTCCTCTAAGCTACTAATATTACTAAGTCATAGGTATTTACCAGAATCACAGTCTCCAAAGCACATCTACCAAATCGACCTGCTTTGGTACTCACTTCAGGGTAGAAAACAGCTTTACCCTCTAACTTAGGCTATGTCAGGTACATAGTCTTATAAATACTATATTAATATATTAAGCCAACGTTTATTAAGCTCTTACTATGTGTAATCTACTTTACACAACACTTCACATACATTTTCAGATTTTTTTCTTTATCACCAGACTTAGGAAGTCAGTGCTGTTATTCCATTTCATAGATGAAGAAATAGCCTTAGAGAAATTATATTATTCAATATCACTGGTGAGAATTTGAAAACAGGTCTATCTGACTAAAAAAAAGCCATGCTGCCTGGTATGTATGCTTAGCACTAATCTAGGTATGGGATTTCCCTCCAAGGAAAACACCTGGCATTTAAGTGCAAATAGAGGCAATCCCAGGAATGGCGAATAGGAATACAGACACGTGTGCTAGCCTTCCATCACTATGACAAAATACCTGAGAAAGTCAACTTAAAGGGAGAAAGGTTTATTTTTGCTCATGGTTTCAGTCCATGCTCAAAGGGTCAGTCTACGGTTGGCAAGTTCCATTGGCAAGCCATTGTTGTAGAAGAGTTTGGTAGAGACAAGCTGATCACCTCATAGAGGCCATAAAGTAGAGAAGGTGAGAAAACCAGAGGGGAAGAGGCTGGAGACCAGATATAGCCCCCAGGTCAAATGTACTTCCTTCAACTAGGCCCCACTTCCTTTTCCCATCACCTCCCAATAATGCCAGTAAATTATGATCTCATCAATGAATTAATCCACTGATGGAGTTAGAGCCTACATTATTCAATTACCTTCAAAAATTCCATCCTCTGAACACATTAACTTTTGAGGGACTTTTTAGACCCACACCATAACAAAGAATAAAGTAATGATGGGAAGAAAGCCAACAAAGAGTGTGTTATTCAGCCAGTTACTCCTTGGATCTCAATACTGCTGGGGAACTCTGGGAGACAATGTAGAACACATCTCAGAATTAACCCAGACTGAAGGGTGAGGGAGCTCTTTACACCCATCATTGGCTAAAGGCTGCTCCTTTACCAAATCCCCCATTATCATCTGAGGGCTGCTTCCAGGGACATTAACTTTGTTTCTGATTTACCCAAGCTTGCTCCTTTTACTCCAAAAATGCTTCTCCAGGCAAGAAGTTATAAGCAGCCACCAGCATTTGCCACTAAGATTTATAGAGATTTTAATTGCTTTTAACATTTTAACTACTACTATCGCTCCTTTTCTTGAGTCAAGCTCACATCCATGGGGGCTAACAGGAAAATAAGTGACTGATAAAGTGCTGCATTACAATTCATACCCGACTCACATACCTGGCACCTTGTCCCCAGCCAGTTTCTTCCCTATGATGAGATCCTTCCAAAGGCTCTCTCTCCCCAATCACACCAGCCTTCTTACCATACCCAACCATATCTGAATCCTAGCATGATCCCAACTAGGCTGTCAAACTGAGATTCTTGGAACAGATGGTTTGTATTTCTCCTTTAGAAAGAAAAATATTCAGGAAGCAATAAGTCATGATTTCATAAAGAAAAAAGAAATGGGTTATTTCCTAAATTAATCTATTTTGATTAAAGCAAAGACTGAAGGTACATTTAAAACTTCAGTGGAAAACGCAAAGATCATGGCTTAAATCCATTTTCACTATGCACCATGCTCTCCTTCTTCAACTAGGGACTTAGCCTCCTTGGCCAATAACTTCCAGGATCACCAGGGTTCTGCAAGAGAAAGAGCTGGACACTCTAGTGTGCATGGCTGGCTTTGAATTAGGTTAGAAGAGGAATCTTAACCTGAAATTCTTGGAGCAGCTCCTGAATATCTCTGACATTGTTACATATAAATATATTTCAGAAATATGCACATTTGCATTTCTGTGGAAAAAAATTACAAAGCCTCGAGCAAATTTCCAAAGTTGTATCTGATTTTAAAAGGTCAAAAATGGTTGAAAATAGCTCCAGAAAGTACCAGATGAGTTTCTGCAAGGTAACAGAATCATGTTTCAACTCTTTCCAAGCAGAACTGAGCTCATGCTCCTAGCAAACACATGACATGATCCACGGCCTCTTCTTTTTGAATATTATATCCTGGCGATAAATCTATGTTTCTGGTTTAGGTTTTCATGTGTTTGCAATTTTGGTTGTCTGCTATAACTGGAACACGGTCCAACATGAACAGACTTTCACATTCTGCTCAGAGGTGAGCCAATTGGAAAATTCATTGCTCTAATGTGTTGAATTAAAAAAGATTGACTAGATCAAGATAGCAGAGAGACCACACCTCCAGATCAGGGCTGCAGGGCCAGTCCTGGATACTCTTTGAGTTTTGAGACTTTAAGTAGCTATTATTACCAATTATGACAGCAGAACAAACAATGGTTAATACATTTATGTAGTCAAATAATTTTAAAATTCCTACTATGTGCAAGGCATTGTGCTAATAAGCACTGGAAACACGGTACTGAACGAGGTTAGGCCCTTGCTTCCATAGAGATGAAATTCTACTTGATTATTCTTTTTTTTTTTTTTTGGCACTGGAGATCGAACTGGGGACCTTGCGCTTGAAAGGCAGGTGAACTAAATGCCTGGCCCTAAATTCTACTTTAGAAGACAAACATCACATAACCACATGATTCTAACTGATAAAAATAGTGCCATTCCATGAGAGTATAGACTATAGGCAGATGGTCTAGTTTGGGGTGGCAAACCTTTTAGAGATGAGTGCCCAAATTGCAACCGAAAACCCCCTTGTTTATTGCAAAGTGCCAACACTGCAACTAAATGTGAATACTGAGGTTTCAGCTTAGAAAAAACAACTCATACATTAACATCTTTTGTTTTAAAAAACAACACACATGCCATAGGTTCACCACCACTGGTCTAGTTAGTAGAATTATTATAGAGAGGTGGAAGCAAAGGCTTTCTCGGGGAAGTAACATGTAGCACACAACCCCTTACCAAGCTCTGGATTCAAACACCCAGTAGTTGACTCAATTTTCTCTCAAATGCTTCCTGATACTGGTTTTGGAGTGCTATAGACTCCTAGAGATGCTTTCTAGGTTCTTGTCCTGAACAAGAAATTGGTCAAGTCCAATGCAAAAGGTAGCCAGGTTTACATCTACCAAAGGTATTAAAGAAAGGAAAAGAGGTATGTTCTGCAGAGTGAGTGTGGGCCAATTAAAAGTAGGAAAAGCAGTACATTCTGTAGAATGCAGAGCAAGCCACTGGAAGAGCTTACAAATCTAGGGTCCAACCTAGACTCTCCTGTTAAAAAACCTGCTTGAGGACCAGAGATTTAGCCCAGTGGATCCGCCACCTGCCTCTCAAGCATAAAGTCCAGAGCTTGATCCCCGGTA